ACACGAAACACAAATATTACAGCCCCAGTACCAACAGAAGGAGTTGCGTCCTTGCTGAGTACGCCACGCGATGGAAAATGGGCCTGGGAAACCCATTTGTCCTGCCCGACAATTGTTTACGGTATCGGTGATTGAGGAGTATACATTGGAGAAGCAGAATAGAAGGGGCGGATATGGTTACAAACACCAAAACACCAAGGGCCACCAAAACAGTCAAACATGATGCACAGCAACAGATCAGTACTTCACAGAGCCTGACTATCCAAACATAGTTAGGGTCGGGACCGAAAAACTTTCACACCAATTGGCAACAACAACACCACCAACAGCTCAGAACACGCACACCAGGACCGATCTCATTCAAGAACACACAGTCGACCCATGTTCATGCAGACAACCACATCGATTGACGATTTCTAGCTCGTCAGGGTACTGTGGTGGCGTCTGTGTGGAGTCGCGTCGAGCATGGATCACACATCACCGAGCATACCATAAAATGTCAAAAACACAGTTATAGTACGTCGACACTCAAATAGCGCACTCCGAGCATGAATATCCTGGCAGGCTGCTGGACCTTTAATGCCTTCTAGAGCGTTGCAAGTTACAACAGCATGCAAGGGATGACGCAAACACAGCCAAGAGAATCGAGAGGACAGGGCACAGCTCTGTCTACAGAAATAGAAAGCCTCGTGAACGAGTGGTTACTGTTATACAGAAGTTAAGGAGGGCCAGGAAAGGTCTGACAAGTCAGAGACACAGAACAGTCATGAATATTCACCTGTATGATAGAGTTGTCTGAAGCGAAGATGAAGCGAACTTTGCCATAGAGAACTTCGTCTTCGGGGCCGACGACAACAAAATCAGTTGGTAGATAGAACGCTGCATAGCTGCCACGAACGGCGGCTGGGACAGTATCGATGCCCGCTAGAAGCAAGTCTATAACCGACTTCATATGTCCCAGAGCGGCCGCTGTGATCAGAAGCGTCTGACCATGGTTATCGTATTGGTGGTAGTCGTAGATTAAAAGGTAAAGGAAACGACGGCACACTCATAAGAAGTGGCTGTAATCTTTGTTATTTAAGCAGTTTACGATCTGCAGGAGAATTTCATCTGGAAATTCGGTGAGGCACCGCCGTTTAGATGTATGGGCTGTCGACATTTCCGCGCAGCTGGGAGAACGGTGCTGGTGCGGGGTTCACGAGGTTAGACGTTAAGGAAACGGAAGGAAAGGGCTGCCTTAGTTGGTAGGTGGAGTGTACCTAGCCACCTCGTTCAGCTGGCGCAGTCGGAAGCATGTAAGCATGGAACCTATGTTAGATAGGATAGAAGGACACGTATTTTACAGGCCAGTCGCCTCCGCCCGACATCCCTCTAGAGTCCCGACGGTGACCTCCCGACTTACTACGGGCGTACGCTCATTGGTTCTCAGCTAGGGTCCGCCTCCCGTCTCATGTTCGGCCCAGGTTAACCTGCCCTGTTTTGTCTCCAGGTCGGCCGCCCCCCTCTCCAGCTCTATTGGTATCGTTTGTCCAACGATGGCCGAGCCAGTGCACTTTGCTTGGTTCTTGCTTGCTCTGACCGTTCAACGGCCACATCCCAGCCAATGAAACGAGGGCCCTTGGCCGACAATCCCCGTTCTCCGGTCATCGGGAACGGCATGCCGGATGGACGTTTTCGATCCCCTTTCATTTCCGCTGGAACCTGCCGTGGGCGGTCTTAGCCGGGGGACCCCGTGTGTCACCGCTGCACGACACCGGTACACCGGCGCTTCACGACACACTCTCTACGTTATAGAGCAGTTACCAATGTCCAAAACTTCCGGACTTATGCTGGCCTGCAGGATCTTCAAGGTGAGTGCCGCATGGACCAAAGGAGACGAGTTCTGTCGACAACGTATTATAGCGCTAGTTAGATATTTACCAAGTGGCTCAGGCGGGTCAATACTGTTTAACTCACAATTTGCTATCTCCTTGACTTGTCATGGACGATTCGCGAATTTACAGTGATGCAGCTACTAGCACTAGTCAGGAGTCAGGCTTTGAGATGGTCAAAAGGCCTTCTGACATCAAGATACCGCGGCGCAGGGCTCAACGCTACCCTTTAGTCGGACAATCAAAGTCCGGAGGAAGCTGGTGGCCACGGCGCTGCGGAAAGTCAGAAATATTCAGCAAGACAAGACGGCACATAAGGACGTCATCCCGGTCCAAACGGATGAAATATTGAGAAAGTGTTTCTTTTTTCAGATTTGTTGAGCAGATTTCTAATCTTTTTATTCCACAATGAATACATACAAATGTCAGTAGACTAGTTTGACTCGGCGAAACACTCACGGGCGGAATCCGACCGTGCTGAATCAAATCATCCTGGCGAATTCAATCAATTTTGGGTGCAGACTTGGGGGCCGCAGCGACTCAGACGGCGACGTGGGACCACCAGCCTATGGGGTGATACAATGCCTATCTGTATATCTGTAAGACGAGGCGGCAGCCGCGGCCTCCTTGTCCAAAAAAAGATCTTCATCGGTCGCGAGCGGAATTACCTGCATGTACGTAGCATTTTGGCTTTTTAGCGTCAAGCTGACAAATTTTAGACAGAGTCGTGCCGGCCGCTGAATATGCTCAAGACAATAGGTGCCTTTGCTTATCAAGTAAGAATCCAGGTGGACATGAGGGAGATTCGCAGGGTAAGCACGAAACTCCCAATTCACATCAACCGCACAATACTATACCATTTGGCAATCGTAGCCGCATGTCAAAGTATGGGGGAGAATCTTAGTGCGCTACGCGGGAATAACTTTGATCAGTGAGCGGCCCCCCGGCACAGGCACGGTCATGGAGATCGAACGATTTGTATCTGAGGGTGGACTTTTTTGATCTGATGTGCAAGCAGCCCCGCCACCGGCCGACTGTCAGTACTAATCGCATGCCGTACTACGCTGTGAAGATCATTAACCTTCAGCTAGGGCGGATGTGCAGAGCGGCCCACCAGCAGATTGCTGGGGGGCTGGTTATAGCTTCTTTGCCGACGGCAGCCGATCTACCTCCGGCCACCTTATTTATAGCACTGGACGTAATACAGGCAAAGCGTCGCAAGCAACACAGAGACATCAAAGAAAGCATAGTAGTGCCCGTGCACGGAAGAGAGAGAGGCGGCAAAATAGTGATATAAAACATGGATAGCTAATAAGTATGCGCAAGGCCGCAGCGAAAGTCCTGTAATCTAAAAGGAGCGAGCTCTGAAGAACCAAAAGGTTGGGGGGTAAAGAGTATTTCGAAAAAAAAAAAAGAATAAGCTTACACCGGATCTGCGGCGGCTGGAGGTAGCCACGGGCCAAGATTCGCATCCCGTCTTGGCCTGGTGGATCATATTGATCTGTGAAATTTCATATGACTCCTCGATGCAGAGAATGGACCGACGACGGATCGCGTGACCGGCACTCGGGCACTCGTTGAGTTGGGTAATGGTGAATTTCGGCGTCCGTCGTCCAACTACACGCACCACATGTTCCAAGACAAGCTTTCGCAAATACAATCTTTACACGTATCGTTAGATGGGCTGGTGAACACATTTATTAGTCCAATCCACAGCGCCTCGAAAGGGCCCTTCACAAACTCCGCCGGTGATGTGTTGTCGTCGTATCATTGACATAACGTATGTCTCAGAATAGCGCAATAAACAGCAAGTCCCTTCACGGTGTCAATATCAGTCCATGTGCGGGCAGCTTGAAGTCTCCTGTGCTTGGCAGCTCGTTTCTACATGTACAAGCTTGAGAAATATGTCTGTTCAGCTCTCTTTGGTTTCTAAAATTACCACGGCCTCGCTCTCCAGCGCCTTATGGCAGTGGCTGCTCGAAAACGATCGTTACCAGAGGGTTCTGCACGTCGATCCAAAGGCTGACATGCACCTCCACGTTGCCAAGACATGCAGGTCTCGCCAAAAGCTATGTGACCCTAAACTGCTCAGCTGAAGGCTGACAACGGAAATTAGTGCATGAGAATGAACCTGTGCGCGAGCAACTGGAAAATCGGAGAATGTACGGCAGCGACGATCCGAGGCGCCCAACTAGAGGCACGAGTACGACGGACGACGGGCCGATGTCGCATATTACCAAACCTGCATCATCAAGTTCACCTTGTCGCACTGTTCCGACGTCGAAGATTTCAAAGGGTCTGTTTCAATGTGCCGTCCTTGCCGGAAATATCTGTGCAAGTAACCATCGTGTAGATGAAGATTGATTCCTTAACCTGTCGCACATAGGGCGATCATCTGCTGGAATCGATAGCAACGCGATGTGACGCCTTTCACGGCTAGTTCTAGACCTCGACCATGACAACGCTGCCGTCCCGACTACATCTTGACGCAGGAACCTGAACAGAAGCTGAACAACCCTCTTCTTTTCGGTTGGGTTGCACATTTACCTTGCAGAGCTACCTTTGCGAATAGCCATCCAGGCCTCAACATATATAAAGCCAGACTAATCCCCCCTCTCATGTATATTTGCTTCAGCACCAAAACACAACAAAACAATTCTTTCTCTGTTCCAAACAAGATTCTTCAACATGAAATTTGCCATTATCAGCCTTCTCCCCCTCCTCGCTATGGCAACCGCCATTGGTGAGAGAGACGCAGACGACGCTGGCATCAAGGGCGTCGCGCCCAACGACGTCGCTCAGGACGACAATAACCTCTCGGGGCTCATGACCGCGGCTGAGAAGGGCAAGGCTGATCTTAGTCAGAGATGCCCTCCCAACTTTCCCAAACATTGCCCTGCTTTCAATTTTTGCTGCCCCTCTCGCGCCATTGGCTGCTGCCGGCGCGCCTGCTGTCTTCCAGGTGCTAGACGCTGCGTTAACGGATTGTGCGCGAGATAATTTGACTTGGCATCACCAAGGTTGTAAGTATAATGATCAACCCTACCTGCCGCATTTTCTAACGCTGATGAAACTAGAAGATAACTGTCGAAGCGGGACAAGCTGTCTTTGGGCGCGCACTATCAATATCTCAGCTGGCAGTCTGCTTATATAGCAATCCATCATGACAATACAAAGTTGCTATTCTTCCTACCATCAGACTTGTTAGCTCAGCCACCTTTTGACGTACACATACTTCACACAATAGTCCGCGCAATGCTGGCGCCGCTGTCCTTTTGCAGCTGAACCCTAGACAAGGGTTGTCGAAGAAACAAGAACAAGACTTGCATACAAACGACGTTTAGAGAACACCCCACCTTACTAACCGTCAATTCACAACGTAGACTTGCTAACTTTTGTGTATAGAGCTGTGGAAGCAGTCACTAGCTCGGACCCAGCTAGCTTCGTCCGTTTATCAGAATTAATCGTGAACAAAATGGCAAGTATCCGTAGATATGTGCACCGAATAGACAGAGAACAAGCTATTTTTAGGTGCAGACCATTTTAACAAAGTACGAGTTACATGTATAATATACCTCTAGACATGGGCGGCAGATGCCAGGAACGGGGTGGACGACGTGCCGTGCCGATGGCATGCGCAGTGTTGGTACAAATTGCATAATCTAGTCTGAAATTGACCATTTCCTGATGTCGAATCAGAAAGCACTTCATATGCCAAGGGTGTGACAGTGGTCCATTTTGCGACGATCGTATTACTCCCACCAGCTGCGTCTTGGCGCAGGAAAGAGGGATTTAAACTACACAACACGATGATTCTAATTCGGGTTTCATGCTTGACATTAATAGCTGGTGTGAATACCTGTAGCTGCAGACATACTGAAGCCGAGTGACGACCTCTGATGGGTTCTTGTCTGCTCGGGACCAGAGATGGAAGTGCTATTGGGTGTAGTTGTTGGCGTTCGTGTACTATCTACATCACTTGTTTGCGTATGCAGGGCAATAACGAATAGTTTGCCATCGGAACCAACACTATATAGGTCTTGTACGCCCAAATGTTGTTTATATCGGTCACCTCAGTGTTACATGCCAACAGGTTTGCTGCAATTTCTGAATCGAGGTTGCTGACCGTATCGCCAGGACTTGGTACCCAAAGCGCGGTTTCGAAGGCAGATGCACCGGAACGCCTTGGACAGTGGACGCACCACTACCGCCGGCTGGCCTGTGGGCGAAAGGCTGCCTGCGCAAAGGCTGTCGCAAGTGTTCAGTGGTTGATTAGTACACAGACAGAAGGCCGGAAGGGTAAATAACTTCTCTCTGTACACAATGGGGACGCTGGCAGCCTGTTGGCCTTGCATTTTATCAGGAACAGCGCAAATTCCATGGTCCGGTTTTCGACCAGAAGGGGGTGTCGTTAACAGTTCTGTCGTCCATAAATCCGTTGCATTTTACAGTCCAGTTCGGCAGCACGTCCTCGCTGAGGAAATCAGGGGTGGTCCTCTTCCCGCCTCTCACATTCTTTTTTTTAACCCATTGAATGAATGGCTGAGGGACTGCTTTAGGTACTGAGGGGTCGATGAAAGACGCTGAGCTAGTCAGCTTCAGGCCTGTCGATTCTGCGCGCGCATCATGCAGCCAGCGTCGGATAATCTCGTCCGTGTGCAATGGCGAATAGGTCACTAGCTTCTTCGCAGCCTCCATTTGCACCCCGCACCACCATTAGAAACAGAACGCAAGTCCTCCAAGGTGGAGTGGGCAGGAAGTGGCAGCGTGAAAGGGGATGCGCGTGGCTAAGGTCCATCAGAACGCTCAATAGTACACGCCCCACCGTAACGATGTGTCGGCAACTTCTGCAACGCTTGCGTCTGTCGATGCGCCAGCGTCACTTGACGTCTACCAGACGTCGAATTCAGGCACCCCCTCTCAGGAAAACCCGGTCTGTGAAGATTTTGCAAGGCCGAAGCAATGTGGGGTCGCGGGGCTCTAGGAGGCAAGAAAGTACAAATATCTACGGTCATGCCAGTTGTTTTGTCCGGTTTTCTTTTCTCCTCTGCGGGAGCTTATTCCTGCACTCACACTCAGGTTACTCACTTTGGCTTTTGTCATTCGTTCGAGACCTGGCCACAGAGGCGACTCACTTTGGCTTCGGCCATTCGTTTGAGGTCTCGCGGGCTACTCAGGTTACTCACTTTGGCTTTGCCATTCGTTTGAGGCCTGGCCATAGAAGTGACTCACTTTGGCTACGGAGTCAAAGAGTGGCCTGTTGAGCTCGTCAGACGCATGATCGATTAAATGTACACCGGCACCTATGCAGATTGCAACGGTCAAGCAAAAGTCCGGCAGTGTCAAATACCAAGAAGCAGAGAGACACACGTAGGCCTACCGACGGCTGAAAGTGGATAGAAAGCGGGATCATCCTCAGATTGAGCGCCATTAAGTTCTGATTAGTGCAGATCCGTACGCTAATGCAATGATCGGAGTGATCGGCTAGCAGATATAACTAGTGCTGCAACTGCAACGACATCTGTGATGAAACATTATATATGATAAACATGCATTGCTCGTCCCTTTCAGTACATCAGAACAACGCATGAAACATACATTACCCTCTCTAGTATTTGCCGTCGACCGAGGTTGCGAGGCCAGTAGAGCTCTCCGAAGCGCCAGCGAGCCTGAGTTTTTGGTAAATGTCGAAGTGGCAGTTATGCAAGTACTCCGTCAGAGTCGTCTTTTGGTTTTTGAGTTTCTCTTTCTCCTTTTTGCGTCGTTCGTTCTCCTCCCGTGCCTTTGCTTCCTCCTCCCGCGCCTTTGCTTGCTGCAGCTGCCTTTCGAGCTCCCGAATTCTTTCAGACATCTGAAGCGATTGATGGATAATGTTGATTAGGCAAAGGTTGCGGGCTAATCGTAGAAGCGATTTGGACTTCCCCATTATAACGGTAGGTAGTTGCCCAGGGCGTGTCCACTGCTGTTGTAGCCTGAGGCCAACTTGCCTCCCCCCCTAGTGTAACACTCAGCCTAGCTAACAAGGTCAGTGACATCCATTTCCCGGCCAACCGGTAGTTAAAAAAGCGAATGCGGCTACTAGCCAATACGCCTTAACGCTTTGTTGTTGTCTTCGTTACTATGCAGCCTGTTTTATTGACACATTTTCTGCCATACCGCTTCTTTCATGACGTCACTGAGCCCATCTGCTTTGCTGTGACGGTTTGTTGCGGCACATGCCTCGCACAACTGTGGTGGCAAAGCTTCTCTGCAGCGAGTGGAAAAATGGATTTCTTGATGCCTAACGACGCGTCAGGCACTCTGGATGGGACTACAGCCAGTGCTCTGAAAACAAAATTGTTTTCTTTGCTATGTGTTTCGCGACGATATTACTATTGCTGTTCTAGAGTGGACCCACTAGTCCTTCCGAGCGAGGTTGCGTGCTATTAGAAAAACAGGCGCTGGCCAGAACACTGACCAGAAATCGTGGCACAAAACGATGCCAGCGGGTCACGGGCAACGGGCCAGATAAGCAAGTTGTCAGCCGTCTTTCATCGCACAATATCCACACACTTACTCGGCGGGGTCAACGCTCTGAGGATTGCGGAAGAGGCTGGTGGGATCAAACTTCTTCTTGAGCTGCTGCAACTGGGGCAGCTTGTGACCCCAGTAAAACTTTTGCGCCGTCTTGCGGTCGAGGTTGGCGTTGATGTAGCCGGCATAGGTAGTGTGGGCGTTGGGGGCACCCTTCTGGACGAGCTTCTGGACACCGTCGACAAACTTGACCATCTTGTCCGAGACGCCGAGGAGGCCAACGGAAAGAGACTGGTACATGATGATCTTGTCGCGGTGAGGGTAGGCGGTCGAGTTGTCGGGCACATCAGAGATGGCACCGCCCTCGTTGTCAAAGATGATGGACCAGAGAGGGGTGTCGGCATCGGTGTTTTCCATGTAGTTGAAGAGCTCGTCAATGGACTGCTCCCCGAGGAGATCCTCCTCGCGAAGAGCAAGCGAACGGCTGACAAACTTGGTCGGAACGTTGGCGAGGTAGAGAGCCGTCTTTTCGGCAATGTGTGCCAGGCTGCCGAGCCAGTCCATCACCGTAATGTTAGCAGGCGCGGCGGGCAGCTTGTCGGGGATGCCGCTGGCCTTGTACTCGTCGAGGGTGCCGTAAAAGGTGCCGGTGATGAGAACGCCCAAAGGCTGGACGATGAAGAGCGAGGTAAAGCGGCGGTCGAGATTGGAGTTGCCGACGAGATCTTGCCATTTCTTGTAGACGGGGGCCATCTCCGACTGCTTGTCGAAGCTGAAGCTGTAGGTGTACTCGACAACGCTGCCGGGCTCCTCCTCGGTGCGGACAACGAACTCGGTAATAACGCCAAAGCTGGCGCCAGCACCCTGAAGACTCCAGAAGAGATCAGCGTTTTCCGTCTTGGAGGCGCGTTGAATCTTGCCATCGGCAGTGACAACTTCAACTTCGAGGACGTGGTCGAGCGCGGTTCCCCACATGCGGGACGAGGAGCCAATGCCGCCCTAACCAGTTAGCAACGAAACTGTCGATTGCAATGTCCAACATACAATGGTGGCGTGGCCACCGATGCCGACGCCGGGGCAGACTCCGTGAGCCATGGCACGCTTGCCGTTGGCGTGGAGCTGCTTGTCGAGCTCGCCGAGCACAAAGCCAGAGCCAAGGGTGGCGTGCCAGTTGCTAGTGTCCATGGAGAAGTGGTTGAGGTTCTGAAGGTCAATCATAAGACCGCCATCGGCGCCACCAAGTCCAAAGTTGCTGACTTCTTGTCAGTTCCGTCATGTGTGACGAATATCGGGCGTCCTACGCGAAGGAGTGGCCGCCAGACTTTGCCTGGACGTGGACATCGTTGGCGCCGGCGCACCTGATGGCCTCAGAGACGTCAGCCGCGTTGTTGGGGCGGAAGACGGCGGCCGGGGTGACGGGCACGTCGAGGTTGTAGGGCTTCACCCAGTTGGCCTGGTAGAGGACATCGCTGGGGTAGGCGACGCAGTTGTCGCGGCCGGCGCAGATCGCGTTGAGGCATGTTCCGGGGGGCGTGCTGGGAGTGTTGCCCATATTGACGGTTTTGATTCTCTTGTCTCTAATCAGATGCTCAGCAGAGAACATCAGTACCGGAAATCGGATCGTCAGAACTTGCGCCAGCGGGCCGGGTCGCACCTTCATAAATAAATAAAATGTATGCCTAGGTTGAATTACTAGCGTTGGTCGCGAGCAGCAGTCAATCAATAAATTCTGGCTGCCTTGTGACATGTCGAGCAGGGCCTGGAAGGCACATCACGACGCCGTGCTGGAGTCGGCAGGGGTTCAGTGGCCCTGTTGAGCTCACCGGTCCGTTTCGTTGGCGCAACCATCGAGACACGAGATGCCAGCGTGTAGGCGGGTAAACGTCTGGTGTCTCTGGATTTCCTAGCTGCTGTGCGATAGGCTTGGAAAAGCCGGTGATTGAACAAGGGTGTGTGGCTGACTCCTAGGTTTCCTTATTGTTGCTAGTGTTGGTTAGCGGAGTGGACAAGAGGCGCTGCCAGTGCGAAGGAATGTGGTGGAGTCCCCGGGTGAGCGGTCATCATTGGCCCAAACCAGGACCTGCTGAGGGCCTGGCGAATTAAGGCACTAACTAACTTAGGTAATCAGTGGCCCGTCCCGGGCTACGGGCCCGTGATGCACGGTTTAACCTGCCCAATACCACCGCATCGTCGATCCCGTGATATCTTCAACACGAAACGAAGACGGGTTCACGCACACCCACAACGGGATTGAGACGACTTGTTTCAATCAACGGCCCGATGCCGAAAAGACTAGAGTCAAGGCATAGACCAAGCCGTCCGGTCAGCATCTCCGTAGTGGGATACTAATAGCGAAACTGTTGGCACTAGCCTCCCCTCAGCGCTCCGCAAAGTATACCTTGGCGTCACTTCCGACTCCAGCAGCGGCCTAGGCCTCGCGATCATCAGACTCCAGTCTCCAGTGCATCTCTCAAGGACCCTGCTATGACGTTTGGTATCGAATTCTTGCATCTCGCTGTCTCTCATGCGGAAAAGCCTGTGAAACTGCTTTGCTTGTTATGAACTGTAATGCGTTCTGCTTAACGCCTAAGAAGGTGATAATAACTGTGGTGGTGTAGATGTAGATGCTTAATTCTTACTTACTAGGACTAGCTTTATTCTAGCTACTTATAGCTGTGTACGGGCTATATACGGCACGTACACCTGCTTAGTCAGAACCAGCCATTCTATGGTCTAACACTATATCCTATTAGACTAATCCTTTTATAGCTAGTGAAATAAGAAAATATGTTAATTTACTAGCCTACAGCCAACCTTAACACGAAGTGTAAAAAAAAAAAAGAGAATATAAAATTAGAAGGTAGATAGTCTACGGACTATTCCATGAAATGGGTCACGTGTGGTTGATCTAGTTTAGCGAGTCTCGCTAGCTCCAAAGCTGTAATTATCATAGTAAGTTTCTGTTGAGGTTACGACTTTTGCTTTCGTGGCCGGCTATTATCAACAATGCAAGGAATTTCTCAATCATCACTGTAACCTTGTCTTCTCATGTAAGCTATTTGAAAGTTAGCTTCCATGCAATTATTTCTTGCCAATATTTATGAGCCGTCTGGAGTGATACTACAGCCATGGCGCCAAAACACCCGAGTCAGCTTGGCCGCTTCTTAATCCAACCACTCCTGTACCTTCTCCCCTAGCAGAGAGCTTTAGGACCTACGCTCGTCGATCGAATAGGCAACTTCAATATCACAATGCGGAGCTTTTCGGGCCCCGCGCTTGCATCAAAAGGTATCCACACACCCAAAGACGGCACGCATGTCGTGGCGAATGATTATGGCGCCACTTTGACATCGACCAAAGTGTCCAGCTGGGCCTCAAAATCAGACCACTTTGACATCGTGACGCCCCGCTAAAAAGGTCTCGCAGGGGGCTGCCCGCAGTTGCACTCAGCTCGTTGGCTCGAATACGCTCTCTTTCTACCGGAGTCATCGACCAGCGCTGTGCATTCTGCTATGCTCTTCAGGCCGGGTTCCTCTTACACTCTTTTGGCACAAAAGTCTTTGCCCCAAGTCTGGCCGCTGCAAGCCATTCCAGCCCTCTGCCTCCACCGCGCGCCAGATTGAGTCGATAACCACTTCCACTCTCGCAGTATCAGCGCTGGCCTTTTAGTCTCTTACTATTCTTGGGGGTATGTCATCCATTTGCATATCCCTTTCTCACTCGTTTCATCTCGGCAGCAGCTTTTTGTCCATTGCTTCTGTTCTTCTACGTATATTCCGGTCTTGCCTTCCTTCCTTCTTTCCACCACACGACAAACTTACAGCATTCTGCGAAAACGACACCGGCGGTTGTTTTACCCTGCATTTCTTGCCCTTTCACCACCAGAATTACACAAAACTACTATCCATGGCATACTGAGCCCTGTCTCGCGCCCAACCAGTGAGATTCAGTCGCATTCGTGGTAGCTACTCCATCCAGCTACACCCTACTACCACAATCGACCAAACTTCCCACTCAGATAAACTCAAGCTCGTTATCCAGCCCGTCACACGGATTGAAAAGTATTCGGAGGCGACCGCTTTCGCAACAACCAACCAGTTCCACACAGCTACGCAGATAGCCCCCGTCAGACATCCTGGCCCCCTTTGTTCAACATCCAGTATCGTCAGCGCCCAACACCGTTCCCAGCCGACTCACATAACCTACCGAACACAAATTTATTCCCATGGCGCCAGGTATTCTACAAGCAGTCAGGTCTCCTGGCCAGCATCCCAGTAAAGAACAAATAATCAGACACTCGCCTTCTCCGAATGGCGAAGTATCAGCCTCTTTCTCCCGCCTCCAAATCCCGTGGGCGTCAACACCTCAGTGCCAAGTTTGTGTCGTTGGCGCTGGTCCAGCCGGTCTTATGCTCGCATGCAATCTCGCCAGGTTCGGCATCGATGTACAAGTGATAGATGAGAGAGATAGGAAAACAACAGTCGGCCGGTAATTGCACCTTCTTCCATCCTCTCGCTTTATCTTTGTCACTTACATCACAGTGCCAACGGACTGCAGCCAAAGACGATAGAAACACTCCGGCAGATGCGCCTAGCCGACCCTCTATTACAACGCGGTGTCAAAGTGTTCGACATTTCGTTTTGGCGCAGTACTCCGACCGAAAAGTTGCACCGGTTGGGTCGCGAAGTCCACTATCCTCCTGTAATCGACGTTCTCGATCCATGCATTCTCCTCGCTCATCAAGGCATGGTTGAGGATTTATTCATGGACGATATGCGGTTGCGCGGCAGGGAAGTCCTACGCAATGTTTCCTTTGAATCATACGAGCAACTCTCAACCAAGATTGGCCAGTCCGCTCTCCAAGTCAACTATAAAGGCGTTGGCAGCGATGGCATCCAACCGATTCTAGCAGAATATCTCGTTGGATGTAAGTCTTCATTCCTCTATTCATCGTCGATGCGACTAACAAGAGAATGAGGCGACGGAGCACACTCCCGAGTTCGTAAGGCTATTCCCGGAGTTGAGGCTGTCGGTGTCTCGCAGCCTGCCATCTGGGGTGTCCTTGATGGTGAGCTTATTACAGATTTTCCGGACATTTGGTCCAAAACTCTCGTCTATTCGGAGGAGCATGGGTCAATCTTGATCGTGCCACGCGAACGCAACATGACCCGTCTCTACATCGAGCTCAAATCGTGTCAAACACCAACCGCTCTTGCTGATCTTGCTAGAGGCGATGACGTCGGCCAATCATTTGTCATGGAGCAAGCGCGCAAAATCATGGCACCGTTCCATATCGACTGGAGCTGTATTGAATGGTTCGGCCGCTATCAAGTCGGGCAGCGTTTAGCAAGTCGTTTCAGTGATGAATCGGCTACTGTCCTCCTTGCAGGTGATGCCAGCCACACGCATTCTCCAAAGTCAGCACAGGGCATGAACATGGCAATGCACGACTCTTGGAATCTGGCGTGGAAACTCAACCTCGCCGCTCGAGGTTTCGCACGTCCAGAGCTCATGGCCAGCTACGAAGAAGAACGCCGCAAGGTTGCTCTTGACCTCGTCAACTTTGACTATGAGCATGCAAACCAGATTGCCAATGGTGACGCTGTCGCACTAGCCAACAACTTTTTATTCAATGTCCGCTTTATTTCTGGAATTGGTGCCGAGTATGGTCCCAGCATCCTCACACAGCCATGTGTGATCCACGAAGAAGCCGCCTTTCCATGCCCTGAAGCGGCACGCCCAGGAAGCATTCTGCCACCTGCCAAGGTCACTCGTTACATTGACGCCAACCCCGTAGATATCCAGCTTGACATTCCCATGATGGGTCAGTTCCGCATATACCTCTTCGCGTGGGACGTGTTCCAATCAGCCACTTTTCTCGCATCGTTCTGCAACTCCATATCCTCCCGCACTTCGTTTGTGAATGCATTGTCTGCTGCAGCGATGGCTTCGTACGCGCGCCAACCTAGATCCTCAGTCCCTGAAGACGTGTACACTCGTCCCGAGCGCTACGTCAAATCCAGCGAACTGTTCACGTTTGCCCTCATTAGTAAGTATTCCAGTGATTACAGTATAACAGAGACGTCATTGACACCATTCTCCAGCAACCATGCCGAAGTCGGAGTTTGAGATTTCGGACTTGCCCCTGCTGCTGCAGGAAAGCCGTTGGACGTTGTACCTAGACAATGTCCCAGAGCAGGATACGCGTGGCGTGCGTTGTACAGAAAAATGGCTCGGACGACTGGCACCAGGCGAGGTCGCCATCGTTACCGTCCGACCAGACGGGTACGTTGGTTCCGTCGGACGCTGGGACGCTGGAATCGACGAATCTGGTGCGAACGCCGCCAGGTGGCTTGACGAATATTTCAGCGGATTCCTCAAGCTACCAGATGAGTCCTCAACGTCATGAGCAAAAGTACTCTATCTTCTTATATATTACATCTCCTAAGAACGGCATCTGTATATTTCAGCCATGAACCCAAACTGCCCATTCAGTCGCAAAAGAAGCGTCGTCTATGAACTGGCTAAACTATACAATTATAGGCCGAAAAGCCACCTATTGCTGAAACACATGTTTGGTCATGAATAAAGAAACTCCAACGCCAACGTGCCAACATGTCAAACCAGATAATAAAAATAAGAGTGGAGTGGTCGCTTCCACCCCTTAGAAATGCATAATGGTAATAGAACCGTCGCTGGCTTCTCCAATCAGCCACCTCTCGTCACCGTAAATGTATCCCGCGTTGAGTAGCATCGGCCAGACATCATCCCCGAACTAAATTTCTCGGGTTATCGCATCAGACCCGTCGGACTCGCTCTCGCTCCCAGCCGCCAATCTGTTGTGACCCTGATTGAGTGCGTCGTTGACTCGACCCCGTCGACCCCTGTGCTCACCTGCACCTCCGCGAACAGTGGTCGTTTTTACGTACTTGCTACTGCTGCCACGCCTGCTGCTCGTCTCGGTCGAAGATGACTGCCGTCGCGGCGTGCGAGATGCAAGTCGCGCCACACCATGGACGCGCAACCGCGGCTTAACGTGCACTGACAGCATCTCAAGCATGACGTAGTGGCGGGCACTGAAGCGCACGCCAGCCCACACGTCGCGCACCTCACAGTCGGTCAGGTACGAGAAGTCGTCATGGCGCCAACACGGGCAGCGCCCAGCCCACATCTCAGCGCCGTCCTCGGGCCGCCGGCAGAACGGCATCCCGCTGGCGTCCGATTGAACCCCGCCGCCGCCATGCTCGTCAACCCAGCGCGGGGCCAGGCCCGGATAGTGGAATGCCAGTGGCCTTGACGTGGTGTAGGCGCGGGGGCGTTGGGCAGCTATGAGGGCCGGCGGCCCACGATGCTCCTCTTCATTGATGAAGACGTGGCCGCAGGCTGCGCCGTTGCCGAATCCCGCGTGCTGTCATCGAGCGCGAGGCAGCGCAACGCGGACGCGCCTCGCTGCCGCACGCCCCAGTGATCGAGCTGCGTGCGGCCCAGCTGCGCGATGATGCGTGGCTCGCCACCACCGGAGGAGGAGGAGGAGGACATCGAAGGGTCTGACAGCACACCGATATCCCAGATGATAAGCCTCTTCAACGGCTCGTCCTCAGCCCACGGCGAGCGTGAGGGCTGCCAGATGTAGACAGCGTAGTGCGTGCTGTTATGCGCAGAGAAGAAGCTGTCCTGGTGGCGCAGCAAGATGCCGAGGCTGTGAATCTTCCATTCGCAGCGAAATGTGACTTTGCATTTGTCTGCTCCCGCCTCATTCAGCTTGAATACACGGTGGGCAAGAACGGAGGTGTAGGGTCAAAACTAGGATGCAATTTGGAATGGCTTACGCGGGAAGGTGCAGACGCAGCAAAGTATAATAAAAAAAATCTGTGCATTGTAGATGCAGAAACTTTAGACGAGGGAGTAGCCATCCCGGTTTCGAATTTAGAAGGTCTCTGTATCGCTACCGGCGGAAATTTGGTCACATTGGAAATAAGGAGTTGAACCGTGCCAGGCCGCAAGCAAGGGTCACAAAATAGTTCGCAGAACCTCTGTTGCTTCTATTCTCACTCTTTCCCGTTCTTTGCTCGTTGTACCGTTGCCAGTCGCTTGTTGGTTCTGCAGTTCGTTGTCTTGCCGGGCAAGCTGCGTAAAGATCAACCTAAAAAGTTGAAGCTGATCCTCTGCCTCGCGGGCCGCTTCATCGAAATCTTTCGTGTGTCGACGATTGCGCTGACGCGCGGATAAGATATCCAACCTCTCCTTGCGGTACAGTATGCGTCTTCTGTTTTAAGCCTTTGCCGTGTTGCAAGGCTAGTGAAACGCGCCCTGTGGCTACCATCTGGTGTGATCCTCACCACGCCTTCGGGCACGCAAATCACGGATTGTGGCATCGCGTATCAATCTGCCAAACTCCAAATATTGTCTGTCTTAGTCTTTGTTGTGATTCGCATGTGCAGAAGCACACCCTCTGACCATTTTTTCGAATCATTCTTGTCACGCTGTCAGGCAAGGACACCAAAGATTGATTCATGAGTTCGGCCTGACTTTGCACCTCCCGAA